GAGGCATTGAGTGGCAATCATGTTGGTCGACAGTCTACCCTCAGCATGATCTCCCATCGTGGGCGGATCCTCCCAACACCCTTTATTTGGTGTTCCCTTCTCTTTCTGAGCTCCCCCTTCCCCTAACATGTGTGGTTGTCCTCCGGGTCATTGAGTAAAATTCCTGGTACTAATCTCTGCCATACTTGGGTGTTAGTTTCCTATTTTGTTACTTTATGTTCCCCAGATGAATGCAATCTTTCTATGTCTATCCCTTTCTTTCTGAGTCATTTCGCTTAACATGATACTTTCCATGTAGTACCACTTGTATGTAAACTTCATGACTTCATCTTTTCTAACAGCTACATAGTACTCCATTGTGTAAATGTGCCAGAGTTTCTTCAACCAGTCATCTGTTCTCGGGCACTCAGGTTTTTTCCAGATTCTGGCTATTGTAAAGAGTGCTGCAATAAACAGACAATTGCAGATGTCACTTCGGCTATACTTTTTTGCCTCTCTGGGATATATTACCATGAGTGGTATTGCGGGGTCAAATGGGAGCTCAATTTGTAGTTTTTTGAGAATCATCCATACTGTTTTCCAGAAGGGCTGAACCAGTCGGCATTCCCACCAACAGTGAAGGAGTGTCCCTTTCTCACCATATCCGCGCCAGCACCGGTTGCTTTTGTTCTTGTGGATATGGGCCAGTCTCTGTGGTGTGAGGTGATACCTCATTGTGGTTTTGATCTGCATCTCCCTGATGATTAATGATGTGGAACATTTTCTCATGTGTCTTTTAGCCATTCGGATTTCTTCTTTGTCAAAGTTTCTATTCATTTCATCTCCCCATTTTTTGATGGGGTTGAATGTTTTCTTTTTGTGGAGTTGAACCAGTATTTTGTATATCCTTGAAATTAACCCCTTATCAGATGTGTAGTTGGCGAATATCCTTTCCCATTCAGTTGACTGTCTTTGTATTTTGGTCACTGTTTCTTTTGAGGTGCAGAAGCGTCTTAGTTTAAGATAGTCCCATTTATCTATCTCTGTTTTCACTTGCTTGGCCAGCGGTGTGACATCTTTGAAGACACTATTAGCTTCTATGTCATGAAGGGTTTTGCCAACATTTTCCTCAATGTATCTTATGGATACAATCTGATACAATCTCATCAGATTCCGGTCTGATGTTGAGGTCTTTAATCCACTTAGATCTTACTTTTGTACATGGAGTTAGGCAGAGATCTGAGCCCATTTTTTTGCATATAGCCATCCAGTTTTGTCAGCATAATTTGTTAAAGAGGCTTTCCCTGCTCCACTTCACTTTTCTTGCCCCCTTATCGAAGATTAGATGCTCGTATGCTTGGGGGGGGGGGGGGGGGACGTCAGTATATTCAACCCTGTTCCATTGGTCTACAGCTCTGCCTTTGTTCCAGTACCATGCTGTTTTAATTATTACTGCCTTGTAGTAGAGTTTGAAGTTAGGGAGGTTGATTCCTCCCATTTTCTTTTTCCCAAGAATTGCTTTAGCTATTCGTGGGGGCTTATTGTTCCATATGAATTTCAGGAGTGTTTGCTCCAATTCTTTGAAGAATGTCATGGGTATCCTAATAGGGATTGCGTTGAATTTATACAGTGCTTTGGGAAGTATTGCCATTTTGACAATGTTAATTCTCCTGATCCTTGAACAGGGGATATTTTTCCATTTCCTCGTATCCTCTTTTATTTCCTGAAGTAGAGTTTTGTAGTTTTCTTTGTACAGGTCCTTTACTTCCTTAGTTAAGCTGATTCCTAGGTACTTGATTTTCTGGGGCACAATTGTGAATGGGATTGTTTTCTTCATGTCTTTTTCTTCTCTTTCACTATTTGCATATAGGAAAGCCATGGACTTTTGGGCATTGATTTTATAACCTCCCACTTTACTATACAAGCCTATTGTTTCTAGAAGTTTCTTGATAGAGGTTTTAGGGTTTTCTAAGTATAGTATCATATCATCTGTGAATAGTGAGTGTTTGATTTCTTCCTTTCCTACCTGGATGCCCTTAATATCCTTTTCTTGCCTAATCGCTATTGCAAGTACTTCCAATACTATATTGAACAGCAGTGGAGAGAGTGGGCATCCTTGTCTCGTCCCTGATCTTAGAAGGAAGGCTCTCAGTTTTTCGCCAATGAGGACGATGCTTGCTGTAGGCTTGTGGTAGATGGCTTTAACTATATTGAGAAAAGTCCCCTCTATCCCCATTTTGGCTGGGGTTTTCATCATAAATGGGTGCTGGATCTTGTCAAATGCTCTCTCTGCATCTATTTATATGATCATATGATTTTTATCTTTTCTTTTGTTGATGTGGTGGATTATGTTGATTGATTTCCTAGTGTTAAACCAGCCTTGCATCCCCGGGATGAATCCTACTTGGTCATGGTGTATGATCTTTTTGATGAGTAGTTGAATTCTATTTGCTAGTATTTTGTTGAGAATATTCGCATCTGTGTTCATCAGGGATATCGGCCTGTAGTTTTCTTTTCTTGAAGACTTCACATTTAAATAAACTGCTCCATTTACATCTAAGTTTCCGGAAACAGCCAGTATTAGAAGAGTTATGGTAATAAAAATTTCCTTATCAGTTCAGTCTCTGTGGAATCTAATATGGAGATCTATCAAAGAATAGAAATAGAACTACCACATTATCCACTGGTGCCATTTCCTGGCATCTATTTTCAAAACACAGAAACATTCATCTCAAAGCATATATGCACACCAGTGTTTATTGTCACTCTTAGTGCAATAGCCAAAGTGTAAAAACAACCTAAATTCCCAACATTGAATAAATAGATCAAGAAATTGTGGGAATTACATAAAATGGACTACAGTGCACATCTGACAAAGACCAAAATCACACAATTTGCAGTTCGCAAGACATAGATGAAGTAGAAGATATCATGCTGAGTGAAGTCAAATGGAAGGTGGCTGACACAGACTGTTCTCTCTCTCTCTCTCTCTCTCTCTCTCTTTCCTATTTCAAACTTATAGATACTCAGCAAAGTAGCAGGAAAGGCATAAAGGCAACATAATGGGAGAACAACTGAGTTGGTGCAATGGCATGGGGTTGAAGGGGATGGCTGATATTGTTCCTGGTGTAGGAAAAGGGTGATGTTGGTGATGAGCATTGTGTTGGAATTATGCACATGTGAAATTAACAGCATCACAAAACAGATAATCTCAGTGAAAATAAATACAGTTAACTAATACTAAATGCTCCGGTCAAAGACATAATTTTCATTCTACATGAAAATCGACACTTAAAGGCTAGTATCATAACAACGAATGAGCCTCCAAGTTAATGCCAAAAGAAGAAATACAATAAAAGGGAAGGGAAGGGAAGGGGAAAAGTGTAAACACATTGTGGTTTCTCAGTGAGTCTAACTTGTCCTGATGTCAGGTACCAAGACAAGCATCAGGGCTTGGCCACACGTGTTCCCTGGACAGCGGCTGACTCTTTTGTGTCAAGTGTCCCTGCTTGACCTCAAAGCCCAGTAAATTGTGAGATGGAGTTCAATTCAGGAGAGGGTACCCCTCCAGGAAAACAATCTTACATCTATTGTTTGCACTAGCCATCCCAGTGCTGATCAGGTTCAGGAGAGGGTTGAGGTGCTGCCAGTGAAGCGAAGTACCTTCGTCAATTTCCTTCAGAAAGTTTTGGGTATGACACTTCAGATGGCATTCAGAGGTTGATGTTTATAGATGATGCTCTCAGCGGACAATAACCCAACCGAACACGGACATTTGAGAGCTTGAGAATCTGCTCTTCAGTGGAGAAGGCAGCTGTAATAGAGAAGGGATCACTAAGAAAATGATGGCCTGAGGAACAGGTCGGGATGGGAGATGTGTGCTGAAAGTAGATAATGGACCAAACATGATAACCTCTCAGTATCTGCTTTGCAAACCATAATGCCAAAAGTAAAGAGAGAGTATGGGGAATATTGTCTGTCATAGAGGCGGGGTGTTGTGGGAAGGGAGGGATATATTGGGGATATTGAAGGTACGGAATGTGCACCGGTGGAGGGTTGGGTGTTTGATCATTGTGTGATTGTAACCCAAACGTCAAAGCTTGTAACTGTCTCAGGGTGATTTTATAAAATTTTTTTAAAAAAGTCTGCTCTTAACTGTGGAGCTAACCTTCTGGTACTTCTCTCTACTATTCTTGGGTGTTAGTTTCCCATACATGCTCGGGAAGAGGGCAGCTTAGAAAGAGAAGGGAACACCAGGTAAACAGTGTTGTGAGGAACAGCTCGGGATGGAAGATATGTGCTGAAGGTAGACTATAGACCAAATAGGATGGCCACTCGGTGCCCCTATTGCAGACCACAGAGCCCCAAAAGGAGAGAGAGAACAAAAGGGAAAACCCTGACACAGAGGCCGTGTTGGGCGTGGGGAGGGGTGGGAGTGGGGTGGATGGTGGGAGGAATGCTGGGATTATTTGTCATGAAGAATGGGCACTGTCGAGGGAAGGGTCATTGTGTGAACACAAGCACAAAAGAATGTAACTCTGAAACTTTAACTCACAGTGATCCACTAATAATTTAAAAAATTAAAAAAATAAGAATTAAGCAGAGAAAAATAAGAATCTATTCTTTATATTCAATTTAGGAGCAGTTGTATCCGTCTGAGGACAGCTGAACTTGTGCTGGTGCTGGGGCATTGGATGGTCTCTGTGGTTGATCTTCATCTGATTTCAGCAGGTGGCGCTGTGGGGCGTGTTCCTGAGCCTGCTGGGGGAACTCAGCTCTCAAACTGTCTCCTGGGGCTCTGCACTCCCTGGGGATTAGAAACTGTGACCCCTAGCACCCTGGAAGCTGCCCCACCTCCACCTCCAACTCAGCTTTCATCAAACCTAGGCCCAGGGGCAGATGGGGAAGGGGATGATTTGCATAAAGGGCTTCTTTGTATTCTCCCATCAGGGGAAGATAAGGGGGCTCTGTGCAGTTGTCTCCCTTGTTAGCTCCAGATAGGAGTCTAGGGTATCTCTGCAATGGCCTGTCCTCCTGCCCTCCTCCTCTTCCTGCTAGCTCAGTACCCAGGTGACTGACAATGGGAACCTGGGAAATTATTATGCAGGAGACCATGATCTGGGTTGAGGTACTGTGGTGGTGGGAAAATGCTTTGTTTTGAGAAAAGGCTTGGCTAGTAACTGTCTCACCTCTGTGTCTCCATTGCTCCATTCCAGGCTCCTGGGCGCAGACTGGACTGACGCAGGAAGTCTCAGTGTCAGGGTCTATGGGAAAGACAGTCACCCTCTCCTGCACTGGAACCACCACCAACGTCCATGCCTATAGTACAGGCTGGTACCAGCAGATTCCTGGTGCTACCCCCAAAACTGTGATGGTTGGAAGTACTCAACCTACAGGGATCCCAGCTTGGTTCACTGGTTCGAAATCTGGAAACAAGGCGACTCTGACCAACTTAGGCGTGCAGCCTGAGGATAAGGCTGATTATTACTGTTCTACGTGGGACTACAGTATCAACAGTGTCATAGTGCTTCAGACTCAAGAGGAAATGAGACAAAAACTCAGCCCTGATCTAAGTGATTCCCCCCATGACAACCGGTCAAACAGGAAATAGAGCTGTCAAGACTGTTCTGTCTGAATGTGACTCTGAACATAGTCCCACTGAACAGGGTCAATGATTGCTCCTGTTTCTCAGACTGGGTGTGTTTAATAGCCATGCCTAGATGTAACCTATTACTAATCATGCATAAACTCATTTACAGTGCTCAGTTCAATTGTGCTTCATGAATTGACAGATGTACATATTCAACACCAAAATCTAATTTTCCAAAATTTCCATCATCTTGGAAAAAAAGTTCAGACCCATTAGTGATTCTTCTCATCCTACGCCACTCTACACATTCCAAGGAAATCATTAATCCATGTTCAAACTTTATGCTTTTTTCTATTCTGTATATTTCTCATGGATAGGATCGAAAATCTTGTGGTACTTTGCACCATTTTTATTTTATTTTCATTTTTATGGCCAAATATTTCTAATCCCAGGCATGATGCAGCATGATACAATAGTTTATTCTGCTACTGAGTTCCCACTGGTTGACAACCTGCAAACGTTTCAGATGTGTGGCTTCACACCTGCTTTCAGTATAGACTGTCTATCACTGCCATCTCCCATCCAGTTTCCATCCATCTCCATCAGCTACTTCCCCCATGTAACCCCATGCTATTTCCACCCCATTCCATGCCCCTACCCCTTTCCCTCAGCTAGTCCCAAACTGTTTCAAAATCTGAAGATTTACTCTCCTGTTGGTTTGTTCCCTATTCGGGATTCTATTTCATCTTTGGGCTAATTGAAGTAGTGTTTGTCTTTTCCAGCTAATAAATTGGACTAAGCAGAGTAACAATCCAGGTCCCTTTGCTGAATTGTATTCCACTATATGAAAATGTCATGTTTTGTTTATTGGCTCAGCTGAACATGCTCATTTGGGCCATTTGAAAACAGCTCTTTGCTGTTTGCTCTTATGTAAAGGGCTGCAAAAGCATTGGTGTACTAGTTTTCATTAGTTTAAATGTAAGTTTTCACCCCAAGAGGTAGAATGGTCAAGCCATTTGATAATATTCTAGATGATCATGGGTGGTCACATGTGTATTTCCAGAAGTTGCACTGGTTTACTTGTGTACCTAGAATGTATTACAACATACAATGTATGAGGCTTCCAAATTCTCTGCACTTTCACTAACAGTTGCTAATATCTCTGACTGTTGTTTGATTCCCTTACCAAATCCCCCCACCCACAGTTTGAGAGAGTTGTCTCCCATGCAGTAGTAGCATGCACTATAAGAAAGAAAGTAAATCAGATAGGAAAGACATCACACAAATGCTTCTCTTTAAGGTATTGGATCCAGGGCAGCCTAGTGGAGAACAGTCTAGCACCGTTTCAGCAGAATAGTTGTAGGCGTTTTGGCTTTTGTCAGTATCAACCCAGAAAGAATGATTCCAGAGGCTAATTTTATCATTCAAACATCTGACATTTTGTTGACTGGTTGCTTATTTATTCATTGGTTTGTTTTTGGGTCATACCCACCGATTCTTATGGTTACTCCTGGTTCAGCATTCGGGAATTGCTCTTGGCAGTCCTTGGAGCACCTATGGAATGTTCGGCCCACTGGTTGCAAGTTAAATGCCCTGCCCACTATGCTAACGCTCTGTCCCCCAACAAATATCTGGCGTTTTATAGAGAATTACAACATCTTACAAGTAGAATTGACATCATTGAAACCGATATATCATTGGTATTTAAAACTATTATTCACCAAACTCCATAAAACCACATTCCATGTAAGATAGAGAAAACAACAAGTCTTCAGTTCTAGTAACATAGTTACTATTAAATAAATTAGAGACTCCGTCTCTTTTTTTTTGGTTTGTTTTGTGGCCATGCCCAGTGGTGGTTGGGACTTAGTGCTTTATTTCTGCCATGGGATCACTCTTGGAAGGACTCAGAGTAACCATATTAGGTGCCAATCATTGAAACCCAGTCAAGTTTCAATTGCAAGGTAAGTGCCCAATCCACTATACTATTGCTCTGGCCCTCATACAGTGTCTTTTAAAGCCAATATGCTTTCTAATTTTTCAGGCAAAATTTGCCTGTTTTGTCACAACATCAATTTGGGATCCAGGAATATTGGAACAATGTGGCCAATCAGGCGTGTAAGAGAGCTATGGCAAGCTTGTTCAATACCTTTTAAGGAAACTTTCAAAAAGTAATGCAGGTTTTGCAGTATTATTAAGCATTTAAGTAGCTCCTAAATTTTGTGATATCCTTATATATTTTATATTTCTTTTTCACAACACAACTAAAGTGAGTGATTAAAATATATTGGTTTACATATGCTATAAAATGAAGTAATATAAAATAGGGCAGAGCCTGGCAAGCTTTCCGTGGCATATTTGTTATGCTGAAAACTGTAATAATAATGGGTTTCATTCCCCTGACCCTGAATGAGCATCCAATACAGCACCGTTGGGAAGGACAAGTAAGGAGAGGCTGCTAAAATCTCAGGGCTGGGACCAATGGAGACCTTACTGTTGCCCGCTCAAGCAAATCAATGTACAATGGGAGGACAGTTATACAGTGATACAGAGAATATAAAATAAAGCACACGCATAATTAGATGCATGATGGATTTTATGTGCACACCCAAAAAAATCCCACTAAGAGAGGAAAAGGGTTAACATGATCCTTTAGAAAAAAATTTTAAAATAGAAACCAATAGTATTTTTACACAGATAAGATTTCTATTTCTGCACTTCCCCAGGATTATTTTCTGAATAATAGTAATAATAATAGTAATAATAATACAATTGCAAACTCAAGGTTTATACATGCTCATTGCAGACATCACAAATATTCAGAATGGCAAAAAAAAACCTCATAAGGAAATTTATAGATTTTTTTTGCCTTTTTGTGGCAGTAGAGGCCTTCTAAGAGACTAGGGTTTAATTCGGGAATTCTCAACCCACTTTATTTCCCCCAATTCCTTATACTCCCCAAGAGCCTTGCACTCACTCTCCACAAATGAACTCTGTTGCTACCATGTAAGCTCTTCCACAGGCCTTGCTCCAGAGACCAAGAAATTCATCTCAAAGAGGTCAGAAAACTGTAGTAAACCTCAACCCCATGCATGGCTGAATAATATATGGCCCATCGGAGGGGTCAGGTTAGCCCAGTGTCCACCCAAACAGAGCCCCTGACAGCCACTTGCACCCATAATCCAACCCTACTGCCGTGCCCCCAGCTGGACCGCACCATCTCGGGACAGACCTCACAGAGATATCAATCTGCTGAAAATTCGGTATGCTGGTTTTGTGACAGAATTCTCTGGGCTTTTCTTGGAGTAGGGATGGGCTGCTTGCCCCCACCACCCTGCACTTCTAGAAGGCCCAGCAATCATTACACACCCCAAAGCGTCCACCCAGCGATAAAAGCTACTTCAGTTTTACTTTCCTGAGAAAAATACTGAATTGCCTGAACAAACACGATGATCTCTTAGTATCTGTATTGAAAACCATAATACACAAAGGGAGAGAGAGAGAGAAAGAAGGAAGTTTCCTGCAATATAGGCAGACGGGGTGGGGGGAGTGACAAGAACAAAAGTGGGGACATTGGTGTGGGAAATGTACACTTGTCAAGGGTGTTGAGACATTACATAGCTGAAACACTATCATTAAAGACTTTGTAACTGGGTATCTCTGTGATTCAATTCAAAAAATGGGAAATATTTTGAAATATAAATCAGCAAAAGAACAAAAAAAGAGCAAAAAAGAATCTGTCATGACCCAAGGCTAGAGCAAAAATAGAGGAAGATCTCACTCTTCTGTGCAAAAAAAGGAAACAAAAGAAGGTAGTCCCTGTCATATTGCATGGAAGTCATATTTTCTAATCTAAGATGCCTGTAAATCTGGGTGATATTATTGGGAAAAGCTGTTTATTGATAACCCATGAATTTTTGTGTTCTGACTGTGACAGGCTACTCTGACACCTATGTAATGAGAGTTAAATTGGACAATGGGCAGGAGAGGGCGCTGTGGATCTTCAGTAGGGTTTGCAGAGAGAGGACCTCTGTGTGAAAAATCCTCCTAGCCACACTCAACACCCTGGGCTCAGTTTGGTGCTTGTGTGGCTGGTGGGGAACTCAGCAGCAGTGCTGCCTCTGGCTGGGCAGAATCTCCTGCTCAGGTCACTGTTAAAATCTGGCAGTTGTTTCCCCCTTAGTGTCACAGGTATATTTGAGACTCATCATCAGACCCTCTGACCAGGTACATCTGGTACCTCCCTTGAGAGGAACATATATGTAGTCATCCCTGCTATGTAGTATATAACATATATCATGTACATAACGTAGATAGCATTATAAGGAAACAACAAAAACTAAGTCAACAGAAACTGAGAACTGTTCTTTATCAGGAAGCATATCACTGTTGAGATGGGGTGATAGGACAGGTATTGGGGAGAGACACTGGGGCATGATGGAAGGAAGCTCGCAATCTGTTGGAGGTGCAGTGTTGGAATGTGCCTTTGCCTGGTACCCTCCTGTTGTCAATATTTTCAGCCAAAGTGCCTAAAATAATTTAAGAAATTTAAAATATATTCAAAAAGGGAAAGAAAGGAAGAAAGAAAGGAAGAAAGAGAAGAAAGAAAGAAAGAAAGAAAGAAAGAAAGAAAGAAAGAAAGGGAGGAAGAAAGGAAGGAAGGAAAATAGAAGAAAGAAATACAAATACAGATCTCAGATGGTGCTAAGGGTGATGCAGAGACCTCAAATATGGGCAATAAATTTGCATGAACAGCCCCTCCTCCTTGATGGCTCTGATGGAGATATGAGATGCCTGTGCCTGCCTAGCCTCAGCTCAGGGTCTCAGAGGGTCTGTGTGCAGGATGGCCTGGATTCCTGTCCTCCTTGTACCCTTTTGTCACTGTACAGGTAGGGATGTGCCACAGAGATCCAGATAAACTCATATTAAGTGTGCAGATCTCTGGCTCTGAGTGTTAAGGTTCTCAACCTGGTCTCTGTCTAGCACTGTTATGTGTCTGTGTTTGCAGGTTCCCTCTCTCA